ACACACTGTGGAGGAAACCCATTTTGGCCACTTGTATCCATGACCCCGTTCTTTCGGTCATGACCCAAAACTCATGTCCATAGATGAGGGTAGGAACGTAGATCGACCGGCAAATTGAGAGCTTCGCTTTCTGGCTCAGCTCTCTCTTCGCCACGACAGACAGGTACAGCGCCCACTTCATGGCAGACGCTGCACCAATCCGTATGTCAATCTCCCGCTCCATTTTTCCCTCGTTCATGAACAAGAACTTGAGATACTTAAACTATTCCACTTGGGGCAGGACATCTTCCCCGACTCTACTCTTTTCCAGCTCAATACCATGGCCTTAGATTTGGAGGCACTGATCTTCATCCCAACGAAAGTTGTAGATCATGACCCAATGAAGCCAGTAGAACCACATCATCCGCAAAAAGCAGAGATGCAATCCTAAAACCACCAAAACAGGTCCCTTCAACACCTTGGCTTGTTCTGTCCATGAAGGTAATGAGCAGAATCGGTGACAAAAGGCAGCCTTGGCAGAGTCCAACTCTCAACGGAAACAAGCCCGACTTACTGCTGGTAATGCAGACCAGAATCTGACACCGGCCATACAGGGACCTGACAGCCTGTATCAAATGGCCCGGTACCCCATACTCCAGGAGAACCCACTACAGGTTTCCCCGAGCTACACAGTCAAACGCCTTCTCCAAGTCCACAAAACATATGTAGAGTGGTTGGGTGAACTCTCATGCACCCTCCAGGACCCTGCTGAGGGTGTAGAGCTGGTCCAGTGTTCCACGACCAGGACGAACTTCACTTCCATAGGTTCACAATTAAAATGTGATTAATAATTGTGGTTTATCAATTACAGACCATAAAATTCCCTCGATTAAAAATGTTAATGGAGTCAGACTGCTAGTTAATGGTTTATTCTACAGGTCTGACCCTATTTAGACAGGAATGTGGCTATCAAAATTAAACTAAAATTATTTAACAATAGGAGGAAATATTTGTATACAGATTTTGTCCCTCAATATATGAAATCTAAATTTGGATTTACTTAAGTAATCTTTGTCTGATATCAAAAACTGTTAAATGATTTAAAACAACTCAATGTGACAAAAAAAAGCAAAAACAGAGGCAATCTATAAGGGGAAAATACCTTTTCACTTCAAAACATGAACAAATCAAAGTGAAACAACTTGAAAAGGAGGTGTTCAATTTACCTCCAGGTCCTGGTCTATAGCATTGTTTTCCTCCTTTCCGTCCAGTGAGATGTGGTGAAAAGGCAGACATTGAGCAATGTCCTGAATAATTAAAAATAGTTTAAAAAAATGTTAAGTCAGTATTTTATTTGCAATAAAATTTAGGGACTCTAAGCAGTCAGTAAATTTTGCTTCTAATATTATTTAAAATAAGATGTATAAGATTACTGAGCTTCTATACATTATAAAGCAGATGCATAAACTCAAACATGAATAAATTTATGATTTTTTAAATATAACACCTCCATTTATTTTAAACATAGCACTTCAAGAAAAAATTGCAAATGCAAAGAAGGAAAAAGCAGATAACTATTCCTACTACACAAGTTATAAAAAAATGTGAGCAGAAAATTATTTAAGATGACTGCAAAAAGTTAAAATAGATAACAGAATAAAATTAATAAAATGCACATTTAGCTCTTTATCTGATATTTGTGGTTAATTACCCATAATTAACCACAAATTACAAATTCCCTCTTAATTACTTCAGAATTAAGAGGGATGACTGAAAGACAGAGTCTCTGAGAACACAAACAGAAAAGATCATATAGATTCCCTTCTGATTCTTGGAAAATAATTCTACATTTAAGTTTGTGCTTTTGTGCACTTAAAGTGAAATAAAATAAAAAAATGCTTCCCCTAAACCTAGGGAAGACCAGTTAGCTGACATGTAAAGCACTAGAATGATAACAGCAAGAACTGTTTATTTATTATGAGTGCAGTTAAGATACTTTTTGATTTGTAATTTTAGAAGATTGAAATGGAGCTTCAGCTATCGTGCAGCATGATTTTATGCAACAGCGTATACACATTGAGAACCTTCAAAGTTTGAAGAACTGAAGAATGTATTAAATAGCTGCTATTTGAAATCTATTTTTATAATACTTTTTTGTGAGCATACATACCTGCTGGCTGGTCCTGACAGTAGAAATTACCTTCAACCACGAAGGAAATTTCTGAATGTTTCGAGAGAGAAAGGAAGTCAGTGTATCTCCGTAATCGGGCCGGTGGAACTCAGCCTCATTTAGCCCATCAATCAGTACAATGAGTCCTTCCACATCAATCTGAAGCTTTCTCTCTGAAAGGTAAAAAAAAAAACCCAACAAATTAAAACTCCAAGCATAATTGACATGACACCGGCTCGCCCCCATGCGGAAGTGGAGCAAACCCGACAAACAAACAGTGTTATAATGGCAGAGGTAGTAAAACTCAATGCTTTACCCAATGCATTTTTTGAGTCACTTTTGCTTTTATCAGGTAACACTGAGGCAAAGGCAGTGCGCACTGCAGCCAGAGAGCCGGATCCATTCATTTTCACAGTGCTTCTGATCGATTTCTCGGTAAAACAACTCATAATCATATCAAGGTTGTAACTTTAGGTTTAATTGGCTGCTTACAAAACTGTAAAATAAATAAATAAACATGGTATTGTGTGGAGGTCTTCATACATTGTTTTGTGTTGTTTTTAAACCCAAGAGAATCTGTCTTTTTCTTACTTTTGTCACTCGAGCCTGACAAAAAAAATAAGTCACAAAACACAGTTTTCCAACACATTGTGTACATTTATAATTTTTCATTGCTAATATATGAGGAGGGAAGCTGGCTGATAGTGGGGCATGAAGATTAGACTTCCTGAAAAGATGAGAGTGTAGGCTTTCTGGAAAATCCCCTTCTAATGTGAAATATATCACAGACTATTGGATAAAAGAAATTTCTAGATAATTATTTTTTCACAAACTCTGCAACTGTGCTCATTCCTCTCATCATCAACAACAAATACTGTTAGTTTGAAAACATTTGCTCATTATTTACCAAAGTTATGAGGAGGGAACAACATATCTGAGCTATTTTAGCTGCCTGAAATAATCTCTTCCCCCTCAATTTCATAGGAACAAATTAATTTACCAGGAAGTCTTTAAATGCGTTTATTCCTCTCATCATCAACAATAAGTCCTGAGGATTTGGTAACATTTCCTCCTTATTTCTCAAGGTTATGAGAGGGGAACCATATATTTTAGCCACCTGGAATAATCCATCCCCCCCAACAAGGGAACAAACTAATTTACCTGCAAGTCTTTAACTGTGCTTATGCCTCTGTTGATGAACAACAAATACTGTAAGTTTAAAAACATTTGCTTATTTGCCAGAGTTATAAGCAAATATAACTTATTTGCTTGTCTGATATCAAAAATTAAATGATTTAAAACCTGTATGGTTAGTCAGGTCAGGTGACTAACCATACAGGTTAGTCACCGGACTAAACCTGTATGGTTTAGTCCGGTGACTAAACCATATAGTTTAGTCACCTGAAATAATCTGTTCCCCCCTCAACAAACATGACAACAAATTAATTTACTAGCACATCTTTAACTGTGTTTATTCCTCTCTTGATGGGCAACAAATTATGTAAGTTTGAAAACATTTGCTTATTATTTGCCAGAGTTATGAAGGGGGAATAATATATTTTAGCCACCTGAAATAATCTGTTCCCCATCTATAACATGGGAACAATTGATTTACCAACAAGTCTTTAACTGTGTTTATTCCTCTCATCATCAACAATAGGTCCTCTAGCTAATAACTCTGGCAAGTATTGAGCAAATCTTACCCTATTTACAAAATTTGTTGTTCATGAAGAGAGGAATAAGCACACTGAAAGTGTTTGTGAAAAAGATTTTTTCCAATGTTATGGAGGGAGAACAGATTATTTCAGGAGGCTAAGATATTTGGTTCCCCCTTCATAACTTTAGCAAATAAAAAGCAAATGTTACCAAAATCACAGGATTTATTGTTGATGAAGAGAGGAATAAGAACAGTTAAAGACTTCTTATTAATTAATTAATTAATTAAGTAAGTAAATTAATTTGTTCCCATGTTATAGATGGGACTGACTATTTCTGGCAGCTGAAATATGTGGTTCCCCCCTCATACCTTTGGCAAACATTGAGCAAATGTTTTCAAACATAAATGATTTATTGTTGATGAATAGAGGAATAAGCACAGTTAAAGAGTTGCTGGTAATTTAATTAGCTCCCATGTTATAGGGAGGGAACAGATTATTCCAGGTGGCTAAAATATATGGTTCCCCTCCTTTAACTTTGGTAAATAATGAATAACAGTTTCCAAAATCACACAATTTGCTGTTGATTATGAGAGGAATAAGCACAGTTAAAGACTTGCTTGTAAAGTAATTTGTTCCTATGTTATAGAGGGGGAACAGCTTATTTCAGGCAGCTGAAATATATGGTACCCCCTTATAGCTTTAGTAAATAATGAGCAAATGCTACCCCTTGAGTTGCTTTAACAGAAACAAAAAATTATTTTCAGCACCATTAAACATAAAAATAACCCACCAATTTCTAACATTTGTATTTATAGGATTTAATGAATTTAATTTAACCATTTTTAATTAAATAAAAATAACAGTAACTGTAGACATATAAGCAGAGCATCATAAGCAAGCAAAGTAATAAAAAACAAAGAACAGTTCTCACTAGTCGAGTCCTACCCTCACGTCATAGAGCCGTTGAAAGGAATTCAATTGCTAGTGAATGACACATCAACACTCAGCAGCTATGACTTAGCTTCCTCTGATTATATAATCACAAGACTATAAGTAGTCCTGGAGTTGTCTTCTTTTCACCAGTATCTGCAGTTTTTCTTTTAAGTGATCTGGTTTTGAGCCACTTATCAATTATTTTTAAACAACCTTTGGTAAGCTAGTTGTAGCGTCGCACTTTAAGCTGACGTCACAGCAAGTAAACAGTCATTTAGATGCAGTACCTCACGGACCACGTAGGGGAGCCCGCGGAGCAACGTTTGAGAAAGACTGCTCTAGATAAGAGGTGTGTACTTGCAGACATATTGCGACTGCTTGTTGGTCAGTTGCTGACAAACACTCTGGAATGATTGGGGGTTGGATTGCTATACGCCTGCATGGGGGCAGAGCCAATCATCATGTCAATTGGCAGCACTCTCAGCACTCTGCTGCTCCAGCCTTATGGCAACCGCAGGAGCTGCATCACCCCATCGTCATCAGCGCTCTCGCTCCATTTCAGCAGTGATCCACTAGATGGCACATCTGGTGAATATTCATTTAGTGATGTGATTAATGTACCACACTAATGTGTGCAGCATTGCTTGCTAATGATGCACAAAAAATCTGATGTAGATTGGATGATGTATCATAGAGATATAAATGTTCCAATAACCTATGGGCACACTTGAGTCAAATTCCAATATAATCCTATTGGCATCTTCAGAGATGAACAAAGTTAATTTATATCCAGTTTGGTGCAAATCAAACTGGATAAAATAGATGCATGTGTGATTTAGACCCCAGATGCGCTAGCCAGCAGACAGTGTATATACAATAATTTCTATGTCATGAAACACAGGTCTAAATCTTTATGAATAATAGAATAACATGCAGGAAAAACAGTGATTTCCTGTTCAAAGGGGACAGGGATAAGTTGATGTCACGAATTAACATCAACTGGTGACCATGTGAACGTGATCAGTGCTGGTCGGTTATGATAGACAAAGTCTGAGGTAGCTGGGAGTTCTGTTTTGTGGGGAATAATCAGATTTGAGGTTTGGCCAAACCCATATGCATTGATGTAAGGAAATCCATCCAACCATCCATCCATTATCCAACATTTGATAACTTTTTACCTTCGAAGCTTCAAGACTGTGCTGACTGATTGTGAAGCCTGCATCTCAAGTTCGCTCAGACACAACATGTGTAACAGAGACAAAATGGCCGACTTCTTTTAGGGTTTGAACCATGACTCCTACAGACATTTTTGTAGGTCCTCTCAAGATACACATGCCTACCAAATTTCATGATTGTCGGTCAAAACATTTTTGGGCAAAGCTTGGTGGGGTTTTGATTATGTCTAGGTCCCCAAATTTGCAATTCTGGACTGAAAAGAATAATATGAGCAGATTTCAATAGGCCTTTGCAGCACTTTGCTGCCGGGTCTAATAAAGAACACAACCTGGTTCAGACTTTTCATGCGTTGTATAATGTTGTACCTTTGTGGAGTGCATCCAGGGGGTCTAGTATGCCTCTCTGAAGGGCTAAGCTCGGATCCTGAATGCAGGAGCGCAGACTGAGGATGCTCTGCAACTGAGGCGAGTGCTGCAACAGTTTTTGATAGGCGGTCAGTTGAGGGGCAGTGATCAGCATGGCCGCCATGTTGTGGACGAACTCAGGAACAAGGCAGGTGTAACAGTTATCAGCTTGACAGAAGTGATAGGACACTACCTGTAAAACAGAACGACATACACATAAGTTTGATTCTCTTTTCTTGGCCTTTGCTAAAGAAATGCAACAGAATAGACCAAGACAGATTTTATTGTCATCCAATTTTATATTTAAAATGTACATATTAAGCAAAGTGTACTGATGGGCTCAGTACACATTGAAATTATTGTATAATAATGACTACAAATCATTCTTATTCACTCAGCTTAATCTGTTTCA